AGGAACCAATCGATATCACTAGTTATCGACGTCCTTATCGATGTCACTAACGATAGCACGATCGAAATTGATCCTACGATCGATATGACTATCGATCCCGCAATACCTCTCACAATCGGCCTCACCATCAATCGCACTATCGGCGATCGGTCTCACTATCGATCTCGCAACCGACATTACTGTCGGTATCACGGTCGGTCTCACTATCGATCTCGCAGTGAAATGGAGACCCCACACTGGTAAATCGGTTTCGGTTTCGTGTTCGTGTCGTCCGTGCGGGCGAGGCGAAGCTGCGCGTGATCCTCCTGTAGCCAGGACAAAGTAGGAGCGAAAATCCGTTCCCCGTCCGCCGGTGGCGGGGAGGTGTCCCAGTTGGGCCAGGCGGTGTCCCGGGTGTCCCGGGTGTCAGTAAGAGCGAAAGTCCGTTCCCCGTCCGCCGGTGGCCGGGAGGTGTCCCAGTTGGGCCGGGCGGTGTCCAGGGTGTCTCGGGTGTCCCAGCCGTCCCGGCGCTAACGCATGTCGCTAATTTCGTAACTTATTGTTTTCGGCGCCTGCGGCGGGCTTTCTTATCCAATACAGCATATCTTATCCAATCCATCTTGCCCAATACAATCCATCTTATCTTATCCAACCCGTCTTGTCCCATCATATCTTATCCCACCCAATCCAATCCACCCAACCCAATCCATCAATTCATTTGTTTCTGCGCCTGCGGCGGGCCAATCCAATCCATCTTATCTTATCCAATCCATTTCTTCCAATCCAGCCCATCTTATCTTATCCTATCCATCTTATCCCATCCAATCCAATCCACCCAAACCATTCCATCAATTCATTGTTGTCGGCGCCTGCGGCGGGCTTCCTTTCCAATCCAGCTTATCTTGTCCAATCCATCTTGTCCAACCCAATATATCTTATCTTATCCAACCCATATTGTCCCATCTTATCTCATCCCCCACCCAATCCAATCCGTCCAACCCAATCCATCAATTCATGTGTTTCTGCGCCTACGGCGGGCCAGTCCAATCCGTCGTATCTTATCCAATCCATCTCTCCCAATCGAACCCATCTTATCTTATTCAATTCCTATTGTCCCATCCAATCCAATCCGCCCAACCCAATCCATAAATTCATTTTTGTCGGCGCCTGGGCGCGATCGCGGCAGACTGCGAGGCCCGATCGCGGCAGACTGATCTATATATATATATAGAGAGAGAGAGGGAGAGAGAGAGAGAGAGCGAGAGAGAAAAATAGAGAGAGAGAGAGAGAAACAGAGATGACCTAGTATGCGATGGTTGTCTTGTGATTGTCCTGCTGGTTGTCTGGTGGTTGTGCCGATGGTTGTCATGTGGTTGTCCGACGACAAATCGTTTTTCTGCGCCTGCGGCGGGCTTTCCCATTTTGCGATTGAGGTCGATAGTGAGATCGACAGTGAGATTCCCCGATAGGTCGGTCGACGGATAGGTAGATAGTGGGATCTCATCGTCATCGCGATCATCATTGTGGTGGATGGAGACTCTGATAGAGAGGGAGAGAGAGAGAGAGAGAGAGAGAAGAGAGAGAGAGAGACAGAGAGAAAGAGAGAGATGAGATCAAGGTGACAGGCTGGAGGTCAGTCAGGGTGGGCATTTGATCTCAATCCCCCCCAACCTCCTTATCGCCCGCAGGGCGGTCGTATAGGTATGTATATCAAACTATCGATTTCACGATCGATTTCACTATCGATCCTACTATTTATCTCCCTATTGATGTCAATATCGATCTCACCATCGATCTTACTATCGATCTCACTGTCGATCTTACTCTCGATCTTACTGTCGATCTCACGATCGATCTCAGGAGACACCGCGGGACACCACGGGACACCACGGGACAACACGGGACAACACCGGGACATCACAGCGGGACACCGCGGGACCCCACGGGACACCGCGGGACACCGCTGGACACCGCGGGACACCGCGGGACACCATGGGACACCACGGGGCACCACGGGACACCATCGGGACGCCATGGCGGGACAGCGCGGGACACCATCGACACCCAACCAGGATAGCATCGGGACACCAGTCGAGACACTGCGGGACACCACAGAACACCATTGGGACTCCGCGGTGGGACACCCCTGGCACCCGCCCGCCACGCCGCAGGGAGGGGGCAAGACTTCTGCCCTCGCCGCGCCCTAGCCAAAGGAGTTTTCATTCCTCTCGCCCACCCACGCAGCTTCGCCCCGCTCGCACGCACGACACGAGCCCGAAACCGAAACCGATTTCCGGGTGGGGGGCTCTCTATTCAACTTCGATATCACCCCCTCATCTCCGATATAGTACCATACACACATATAGGTGTATACATTATATATATATGCTATCTATACACGCGCATACGTATACCTATACGACCACCCTTCGGGTGATAAGGAGGTTGTGTGGGGGGGGGGAGAGGGGGGAACCAACATCTGACTCAATCGATCTCACTATTGATCTCAATCGACGGGACACCACGGGACACCTCGGGACACCACATCGATCTCACTATCGATCTCACTATCGATCTCACCCAACGGGACACCACGGGACACCACGGGACACCTGTCGATCTCACTATTGATCTCACTATCGATCTCACTTTTTGGGACACCATGGGACACCACGGGACACCTCGGGGCACCACATCGATCTCAGTATCGATCTTAGTATCGATTTCACTATAGATCTCACTATCGATCTTACTCAACGGGACACCACGGGACACCATGGGACACCACGGGGCACCACGGGACACCACGAGCCACCGCCCGACGGACGGACGGACGGATGGGCGGGCGGAGAATCATTTGTCTTGACTTCGCCCTAGCAACGGCGGACACCACGGGACACCACGGGACACCGCGGGACACCGCGAGCCACCGCCGGACGGGCGGGCGGAGGAGAATCATTTGTCTTGACTTCGCCCTAGCAGCGGCGGGTTCATTCCTCTCGCCCGCCCACGCAGCTTCGCCTCTCCCGCACGCCCGACTCGAACGAAACGAAACGATTTTTCCCGGTTGGGGGGTCTCCGTTCCACTGCGATCTCGACCCCCAACCTCCGACGTTCATGTACATACAAAAAACAGTTTCCGGCGGCTGAATTCTATTAGTCCGCCCCACTCAATCATTTTGGGGGGTCCGGGGGGGGGGAGGGGGGGGTCGATTTTTTTAATCGTTTCCCTGCATTACGAACACATGTTTTCGGACTTTCAGCTCGCTGGGACACGGGAGACGGACGCGCGGCGACCCGGCATCATGAACAGCTGCCTCCTGGGAAGGGGCCTGCCCGATCGGCGCTGAATTGAAGAAACTGGGGGCCGATGCCCCCCCGCGAGCGTGTCCCTCTCTCTCTCGTCAGGGCGGCGAGACCTGCTCACACAAATGCACCGCTCCGGGACCCAGTCCAGGATGGGCCCAGCCAGGGGCAGCGCACATGTGTGATTCAGGGTCTGGGACCCGCCCCGTCGTGCTGATGCCAGTTGACCCCCCCCCCCGCGCGATGCCCCCCCCCCCCCCCCTGTGGGCGTGGCCTGGTGGGGTCTTCCCCTGTGGGCGTGCGAGGGTGCAAGGAGGGAGCAAGGTAGGGAAGAGAGGGCCAAGGAACGAGGAGGGCGGGATGGGGAGGAGGACGGAGGGAGGAGGAGAAGCAACATAGTCGTCGATGGTGTCTTCCCCGTCGTCGCCTCCCTCTGGGTGTGGCGCGGTGTTGCGGTGCTTCAGGGAGCCAGAGCGGACGGTGTCTTCGTCGTTGTCGTCGCCGTCGTCGTCGTCGTCCGCCCCCCCATCCCATCTGGGTTATGTTGCTCCCATCGTAGTTAAGGACCACATCCCAGAAATAATTTCGAGCACACGGAAAAGTGTCGAAAGAGTGTCGAAACAGTGTCGAAAAAGTGTCGGACGAGTGTCTCCCAGGGCCCGCCGCGTGAATGAAAATCCTCGAGTTTCGTTACTTTTTTATGGTGCTCGAAATTCTTTCTGGTGGTCCAGGCTAAAGTAGGTTGGAACATCATCACATCTGGGGAAGGAGGGTGGCCCGAGAGACCCTGAGACCCATGCCATCTGGGAGGGGGGCCCGTGGGCCCGGAGCCCAGGATCATGCATACTTTGATCTCGCGGCGCGAGGCGTTGGGGGTGCATCCATCGCTCTCGACCGCTGGACTCGGGTCGGGCACGTCCTCCCAGAGGCGGGTTCTGGACGAAAACGCTGTTCCAGCAATAAACCAAACAAAAATCGATTTAAAACATCGTCCCTGATCATTTTTGGGCTATTCTTGAACGTCCCTCCCGTGGAGGGACAGGCCCGCCTTGCACCTGGCAGAGCCAGGCCCCGCAGCAGCAAAAGCCTTCCGCGGGGCCCCGCCCGCCGGCCATCCCCCCGCTGCTCCGGCGACAGGTCCATCTTGAGGCGCGGCGCGCCGCGAGGGGCGCCCCCGCGCCGGCGGCGAGCGCCGACGCCAGCGGCAGCAGGCGAGCACCTGAACATCGCTTCACCGATCCCCATCCCCAGCGGCGCGGCCTGGGCCCCGCTGGCCGATTTTGCCCCCCCCCCAGATGGGGGTAAGTATAACCGGGTCCTCGCCTCCTGGCTTCGAGGGGTGCACCCCCAAAACTGGGGTGGTAACTGGGTGGGGGTCTCGGAGGGGATGGGGATGGGGACGGGGATCGATTTTGGCGGCGCGCACAAGGGGGTGGGGGGAGGGGGAGGCTTCTTAGAAGCGCCTGCTTCTTAGAAGGCGCCGGCCTTACATCTACAAAGAAGGCCCGCGCCTTCTAAGAAGCAGGGAAGCCTTCCCCCTCCCCCCACCCCCTCTGCGCGCCGCCAACGGTCAAACCACACCGAGCACCGACGTCAGCCGCAGCGCCCGCTGGCAGCGCCGGGGCGGCCAGCAGCAGCAGCGGCGAGCGCCGGCGGCGAGCGCCGGCGGCGAGCGCCGGCGCCCGCGGCAGCGGCAGCGCCCTATAGGGCTGCCGGCGGCGGGCCGCGTAGCGCCGGCCGCGTGGCGGGCGCTCCGCGGCCGCGCGGGGGCCTCGTCGGCGAGCCGCTCCGAGAGTAGACGCACTGCGAGAGGCGGGCCGCGGGAGGCGGCCAGGCGGCGGCGGGGGGCTCAGGCGGCGGCGCGCTCGCGGAGCTTCGTGCAGCAGCCGGGGGTCGGCGCCTTCGGCTTGTGGTGCACGCGGACGCGGCCGCAGTCGAAGCCCTCCCCGGCCTTCCCGCAGCCCTCGCCGCCCTGGTAGTTCCACTCGCACCTGGGCGGCGAGGAGGAGGAGGAGGAGGAGGAGGAGGAGGAGGAGGAGGAGGAGGAGGAGGAGGAGGCTTGCGCGCGAGGGAGGGCGCAGCGACCTCAATTGCGCTGCGGCGCACGGCGGACCGCCTGCGCGGCACACTGCGAGGAGGAGAGGGCGCCTGCGCGGGAAGCTTGCGCGCAGCCACCCCCCGTTGTCCTCCGTCGCTCGCCTGTCGAGCTGGCCCACCCGGAGCTCCGAGATGCCCGACGAGGCGAGCGCCCACCTCGCCAGCCTGCTGGCACTGGCCAGTGACTTCTGAGGGATGGGAGGCGGGGGGAAGGAGGGGGGGAGGAGGGAGCAGAAGGAGGAGGGGCAAGAAGAAGAAGAAGACGAGGGGGAAGAGCACGAGGCAAGGGAAAACAGAGAGGGAGCAGGAACGGGATGACGACGACGAGGACCGCCGGCCTGTTGATGTTCTGCATGTAGAAGAGCGTGTGGAACAGGCCCTGGCCGCACTCGGCCCCGATGTACTTGTTTGCCGTCGGGAGGTAGCCGCCCCCCGCCCACCCGTCCACCCTGCTGAAAGCGGCCTTCCCCAGAGATCCGATATCGTGATTTTTTCAGGACGGGGTCCCAAAAAGTCTCGACCCATTCCACAGGACCGGCTTTTCATCCTGAGTCGTCTTTTGACAGCCCCAGGGCCCGGCGAAGGCCGCTAGAGGCCGAACATTTCGAAAAACCTCCGTCTTGATTTTTTCAATGCGTTGGATCTCTGGGTCTCTGCCGTGAGCAGAGCCCGGCCCTGACGGAAACGGGCCCCGGACCCCAGAGCCTCGCCCAGGGACCAGCTCTTCCTCCCGAGTCGCTCGCTGACGGCCCTGAGAGAGCCCGACGGCGGCCAAACACCTCGGGGAGCCGCCTCCTGAAGCGGGGCGGGCTAAGAGAACGGCAGCGCAGACTCGGCCCCACGAGACCGCCCCCCACACGGTTTATAAATAGACGCACTCGTTTTCCGAGCTGCGCCCAGCCGTGGCGACGAGGGCCACCCCCGCCCCCCCAGAGGCCCACTGCCGTTGTCTCAAGAGGCGCTCCTCGGCGCTTCTCTCCGGGCCCGTCTGCTCACGGCGGGCCTTCTGGGCGAACGCGACCGAGGCGCGCAGGATGCGCGGGTCTGGCCGCACGACGATGATCGCGACGCTCACGGGCGCCAGGGGGCCGCTGGTGGTGAGCAGCACCCCGGTGGCCGCGCACCGCAGGGCTGGCAGCACGTCCCCCTGGAGCTCCATGTCGGTGTCGAAGTACGCCACGGCGTCGTAGCCCTCCAGCCCGAAGATGTGCATGCGCATGAGGTCCATGGGGCCGCACCAGCCCTCCCTCCCCCGCCGCCAGATCTGCCCGTCCTCCGGCTGCTCGCAACGGGGGGGCCCCACGCTCAAGTCGGGCGTGTCCCCCTACAGGGGGATCTTCGACGAAAGGTAGCACATGCTCCAAGCATGCGCCAACATGATGCACACGTGCCAAAACAAAAAGTCCCCAGACTATGTTCCCTCCTCCTCCTCCTCCTGCTCCTCCTCCTTCTCCTCCTCCTCCTCCTCCTCCTCCGCTTCCTCCCATCTCCTCCGCTTCCTCCCATTACTCCTAGCCCTTTCGATCAGGGTCGGCGGCACCGGCCGTCAGGCCTCTCCAATAGTCCCCAGACTATGTCCTGACTATTTTTGAACACTCCCCCCTGCCGAGGGACGGGCCCGCCTCAACCCCACGCCAGAGCGACCTCTGCTGCGCCGCCTCCGGCAGGCCGCCAGGGGGCCACCGCCGAGCGGGCAGGCCAATGGGGGGGGGGGGGGAGGGCCCCGTGGGCCCGCACCGGGCTCCAGCGAACGGTCGCCCTTCCTCCTCCTCCTCCTCCTCCTCCTCCTCCTCCTCTTCCTCCTCCCCCTCTCTTTCCTCCTCCTTCTCCTCCTCCTGCTCCCCCTCCTCCTCCTCCTCCTCCTCCTCCTCCTCCTCCTCCTCCTCCTCCTCCTTCTCTTCCTCGTCCTCGTCGTCATCGTCATCGTCATCCTCCTCCTCCACCTCGTCCTCCTCCTCCTCTTCTTCCTCGTCCTCCCTCTCCCCCCCTCCCCCTCCAGCAGGTCACTGGCAGCGAACGGTCGCTCTTCATGAGTATCCGACGCTGCGAACAGGCACAGCCGATCGACGAATCACGCCCCGAGCCTGGACCCATCTTCCTGCGGCATGGTTTTGGGGAACGAAAAGTGGCATAAACGTAACAACTCGGAGGTCCGCGCGGATTTCTCGGATCGGCGCCCCCTCCCTGGCGCGCGGAGCGCGCCAGGGGCGGCGCCGGAGGCGCCGCCGGGGGGCCCCAGCGCCGATCCGAGAAATCCGCGCGGACCTCCGAGCTTTTATATTTATGTCACTTGTTGTTGCCCTATGTTTCGACTCAGCTAGATCTGTGAAGGTCCCTGGGCCCGAAAGCGGGCGAGACCGCCCGGAGCGACGCGACTGCGGCGCGAAGAGAGCTCAGGGCCACGCGTACAGTCGGGGCCTTGTCCTAAGGAACCCGAAGTAAGGAACGAGGCCCTTTTTTCCATCAGTTAAACTTCGGTTCCCCATCGAAAACACGAGGAAAACCTGAGGCAAGCTGTGAAACACCCAAGGAACGCGGAGCCCCTCCCAAACGAAAGGGGTTCCTTCCTCAGGGCCCCGACTGTGTGGACGAGTCCTTCATGACCGGCAGCCACGACCCCGGCGGGAGGTCCCAGTCCACCGCCACGATGCGCACGCCCTTCGCGGCCAGCTCGCGCCGCACCTCCTCGCCCGTCTCGGCCGCGTGGGACCCGAGCATGAGCATCACGATGTCCAGGCCGTGCGCGCGAGCCTGCCGGGGACGACAGGCGAGAGAGGCACCCGCGGCACGAGCCACAGACAAACGCAGCGCGAGACCTCGCGAGGTCCGCGCTGCACAGCCCCCCTGCCTGGCGCAAAGGGGAGCGCGCCAGGGGCGGCGCTGGGAAGCGCCGCCACGGGGTTCCGAGCACCGAGCCAAGAAACCCGCGAGGAACTCAGGAAGCTCATGCTTGTCCTGCTTTCTCTTCTCCTTCTTCTTCCTCTTCTTCTCCTGCAAAATCTTATTACTCGTATGCTTACTCTTCCGATCATTCTTATGATTATTATTATTGTGTTTCATCCTCTTCTTCTGACCATGGTCCATCTTCATCTTCATCTTCAAGCCCATATTCGCTGCCGCGGGGTCGTGTGGGACACCTGCCCGCCCACGAGGGCGTGCCGACCACCAGATTCACCACTCCTGGAGACCCCAGGGGCACAACTCCGAAGCGGCGGATGCGGACGTACCCGGGCATCCGGCGCTGCGAAAACAACGCGGCCTCGCGAGAAGTCTCACCCGGCGCCCGAGGCCCCGTCTCTCTGCAGCACCTTCCGGGCCGCAGCGATCTTCGAGGGTGCCGGGGGGGCCAAGACGGGGCGCACGCGCCCGGGCGCAAGAGAAGTGCGACGTCAAGGTCTTGGGCTTGCAGTCAGCCAGGATAAAAAGGATGCGCGGTAAGGATGCAAGGGCCTTGGAACGCCATGTTGAGGTTTTCCGCGCGGAGCGCGGCCGAATTCCGAAGGGCTGGCCAGCGAAAGTTGGCGAGGGTGCGCCGGAGGTGAAAGGATGCAAGGGTACCCTGGCCAAGTTGCCCCATCCTTGCTATCATGGTCGACTGTGCTCTGGCGGCGGAGCCTGGGCCCGCATGGCCTCCAGGTTCTTCAGGTGCCCCATGCCCTCGAGCGGCAGCCACTGCGACAGCACCAGTGCGTACCTGCCGTTCGCGGGCCCGCCCTCGGCGCAGGCCGACACGTTGAGGCAGGGGACGTACCTGGAAGAAGAGTCCGGAGAAGACTCGTGTGATACGAAGACTACGGCTGATATTCACACGAAGAGGAGGAGAGAGCAGAACAGCGATCATGCAAATAGGAATACGCTGTTAGCCAGCCGAGACCCTAAACAGTTCGCTCCCGGCACGATCTGTTGTACGATCAATGATGTGCCATAGATGTTGTGCTGTCTACGTGGTACAACGTATGTGGTACAAACTAAATTGTGCAGTCTAGGTGGAGAAATCGATGTGGGACCATCTATATGAAGCAGCAAATATTATCCTACACATTTATGTTTATATAGTGTGCTGGCGCAATATTTAGGCGGTGCCAGCTATGTGGTTCTGCAATTTATGTGATGTGCAATATATGTATATATATATATATATATAAATAGGTGTGCAAGATCTGTGGTGCAGTCATGTGGTGCAATCTATGTTGTGCAATGACCGTGGTGCAATGAATTTGAAAACCTTGGAGTTGTCAATTCCACTGCTCGCGGAACCGTCCCACCCACCCACCAACCCGCAACTTAGTTTGCAAAACCCATGCGGCGGCGGTTGCGATGAGTGCTTGGTGTTGGCTGGTGCATCTCTGCGGCCGCGCTGGCCCGCGCATGCTCGCGCGCACAGCGGACAGGGACTTTGGCGCGACCGCCGCGGCCGCGGTGGCGCTGACCGTTGGGCACTTCCCAGCGGGCACTTCCGTGCGAGCCGGCGGCTTGGGCGGGCGCGGTATCGTGGCGACGTCAACAACGGCAGGCACGATGGTGAGAATAGCGGTCGTGGTGACGAGGATGACGGCAAAGCCAATGACGGCGCCGATGTCGTTCACGCCGATGACGATGACGGTATCCTCGCGTCGGTTATGAAGGTTTTGGAAGGAGCTTGACATGCTGGCGCGGTCGACGCGTGCGAGTGGCCCACCTGGTGTTGTTTGACAGGGATCGTGCCAGCCCAGCATGCGTGCAAGGGCGTTCGAATGATTCCGACATGCGACGCGAGAGGCCCGTTTGGTCGAATGTACTGAACACATTGAGAAAACCGTTGTTTTCTCCTCAAAGCCCGCGCGCGCATACCTTGGTTGAGAACTGATGTGTGGAAACCATGCCATATATATATATATATATATATATATATTCGGGACACTCGATATTGAAATCCTTACGACGCCCAAGATGTTTGAAGTATTTCGGCATGCGCGCGCGACGACGCGCGCGTGTGAACTTCGTCCCATGTGTTGCAATGGAGTGTTGCGACAGAGCGAGCGCAAGGGCGTTCGAGTGATTTCGGCATGCGCGCGCGAAAGGCACGTGTGGTAGAATTTGATGACGCTGTTGAAGAACCGATGGTTTCCTTTAGAATTCGCGGGAGCGCGAGCACATAATGTTTTTGAACCTTATGGAACTATGTTTTATACATCCTCGATTTTGAAAACCCTGCGCGAGCGCGAACGACGCGCGCGTGCACTTCGTCCCGTTGTTTGAAAGGTTTTTTGTTGAAAACTCATGATTTGTGATAGACAAGTGTGCGCGCATAGCATCCTCTGCAGAGAAGAGAGGGGTCGATGAGGGACTGTCTGGGGTGGGACCAATTCATATTTGGGATGGACGAGTGTGCAGAATCGGATACGAAAACAGCATGACAATACCAAGCGTTGCGTCCAGGGGTGGGGGAGGTAGATCCCAACACTCCTGCAGAAAGGACACTCTGCGTCTCGCCATCGCTCTTGGACGTCCATCTCCCTGTGCCTTTGTCGGTTTCGTGCGTGCATTCTTGGTTGCAGCGTGACCAAAGATGCTCCTCGATGGCCCGCGCGGATAAACAAAATATGCACACGCCCGAGCGATGCCAAGACGCGGTGCACCCACTGTGGCGCCGTCCGTGCCGCGGCGAAGCGGCGCCGACCGGGGCGGCCACGGCGGCAGCGTGGCCGCCAGGCCGGCGGACACGCGAGCCCCAAACGAGGGGCGGCGACGCGGCGGCGACGGGGCGGCGACGGCGGCAACAGGGCCGCCAGACGGGCAGGCAGGCCCGGACGACGGGCGGCGACGGGGCGGCGACGGCGGCAACATAGCCGCCAGACGGGCTGACAGGCCCAGTTCCTCGGAGGGGAAGTGAGAACCACTGAATGCAAAGACGCTCGAGGAGTGAAGATCGGCACGGGCCCAAACGAAGGAGATCGAGAAGGAGGAGGACATCGAGGAAGAGGAAGATGGTATCGGGAAGGGGGAGGAGGAGGAGGAGGAGGAGGAGGAGGAGGAGGAGGAGGAGGAGGAGGAGGAGGAGGAGGAGGAGGAGATCGAGAAGGAGGAGGATACCGAAAGGGGGAGGAGGAGGACCAGTGTAAACCCAAGAATCATCAACGATGTTTGAATAAACGTTCCCTCCAAGCTCCCTCTTCATCGGCCCCTTACAACGGTTCATATCCACTGAGGGAACTGCCTCATTAGAAGACAACTGTTTGAAGACCCTGAAGCATGCCAAAGCATTGCTCTCGGAATTCCAACGCCACGGAACAACCTGACTATTGCGTTTTGGCGATCCTGAATCGTGCCAGAACGCCATTCCTGGGACTTCGGCACCGCGAATCAACGTAACTGTTGCGCCCTCATCATGATGAGCCCTTCCGAAACACCATTCCAAATACGCTGATCATGGGAACCGGTGAAACTCTTGCAAATTCTTGAAACGAATGTGCGCGGCGCTAGGGAGAGACCCACATGTTGACAAGGAACCGCCCTCAAGCCGTGAACCTCTTGCAAATTGTTAAGACGAGCGCACGCGGCGCTAAGGCGAGAACCACAATTTGAAAACCACCCGCTTTGAATCCGTGACGCTTTTGCGAAGTATTAAGACGAATGTGCGCGGCGCTAAGGCGAGAGCCACATGTTGAAGACCACCCGCCCTCAATATGTAAAGCTCTTGCAATGTTTCTAAACGAATGTGCGCGGCGCGAAGGCGAGAGTCACATCTTGAAAACCACCCGCCCTCAATATGTGAAACTGTTGCCAACTGTTCAACTTCAGGGTTATAAGTGATGAGGAAATCTCAGGCGAAACGCCCGGCCCGCTCTAAAAACTGGCCTCGGGATGCGACAGGGAGAAGTTATTGATAAGGAACAGGAATGGAGGAGGAGGAGGAGGAGGAGGAGAAGGAGGAGGAGGAGGAGGAGGAGGAGGAGGAGGAGTCGCACGCACGGACGGGCACCATGGTCGGGAGCATGTGCGGAGCGCGTCGCGGCGGCGGCCTTGGCGGCACGCCGAGCGCGCGGTGCCCCGAGAGCGGATGGCGTGACGCCCCGCTTCGTGGGACGGGCGCCCGGGGAGCAGCGCGGGGCGCTGACTCCTCCTCCTCCCCTCCTCCTCCTCCGCCATTCCTCCTCCTCCTCCTCCTCCCTCCTCCTCCACCTCCTCCTCCTCCTCCTCCTCCCTTCCCCTCCTCTCCTGGGGACGGGGACGTGGTTGGCGTGCTGCGCCGAAGCCTGCTGGGTCAGAGTCGGCGGCGCGACACGCCACGCCACAGTTCCCGACCGTGTGCCTGCGGAGGTCCGCGCGGACTCCTCTTCATCGTCTTCTGCTTCAGGGACCCCACGTCGATTTTTTCTCGGGGAACTAAATGCGAGGACCGCCGGAGGTCTCGACCCACTCCCCGGGGCCAGAGTTTCATCCCGAGCCGCTGTTTGGCGGTCCTGGGGCCTGGCGAGGACCCCAGCGGCCAAATGTAGCAACACCAAGAGCGCCCTCCGTCGTGAAATGTCCCATGGTCCGAGGGGCTGGTTCTTCTGCCCTCGATGAGGGGTAACGATGGGGGGGATCCGCTCAGGGGGGGGACACATCGCCGATTGATGGGCGATAGCTCCCCACGTTCCTGGGCGGGGCGGGCTATCGGGCACCAATCGGCGATGACTAAACAATGGGGCATCGACGCCTCCCCCCCCGAGCCCATCTCCGCCCCTGGTGGCTGTCGGGCCCGAACTCGGGGCCTCCGTCGGCCGTTCGGGGCAGTCCAGGCACCCCTGGAACGCCCTCGGCGAGGCGCGCGTGGAGAGGCAGGGGTGGTCGGGAGCAGGGGGGGGGGAGTGGGAAGGGCAGGAGGACGCGGGGTGCTGTCTCTATAGAACCATGGACCCCTCAACGACACCGGAGCGTCAGGAGAAAACCACCCTCCGTCGTGGCTGGCCTCCATGGCTCGAGGGGGATCGGGGTCTCCTTCCCTCGAGCACTCGTGCCCCTCCACGCAGCACTTGCTGCAGCCGCCCCAGGACGTGCCGCGCGAGGGCCTCGGCTGCGCCGCCGCCGGGGTCCGCGCGGGCGCGGCCGGGGGCTCCGGCAGCCGCGCGGCCTCGGCGGCGCGGGCGAGGAGGGCGCGGCGGTACACGGGGCTGGAGGGGCTGCCGGAGACGCAGCAGGGATCCTCCGCCCTGCCGAGGCGCTCCTCCGAGGGGGGGGGACGGGGCGGCACACGGCGAGGGCATTGGACGAGGAAGCCTCGGAGAAGGATTTCCGAGCGAGCGAACGAACTGCAGTCGACCCGTATAGTAAGGAGGCGCGATGGGGGTGCAAGGGCCCTGGACGCCCCTTGCGAAGCTTTTCGAGCGGGCACGGCCAAGGAAAGTGGCCAAGGATGGGCCGAAGGGACAAGGATGCACGGGTGTCCTTGGGAAGGCTGCCCATCCTTACTATGCGGGTGGACGGGTCTCCAAGGGAGGAGGAGGAGGAGG